CTGCCTGCCCTAGTTTCAATAACTCTTGATTTCAGTTTTAATTTTTTCAGTAGTTTTGAAGTTGTTTTAGGAGTAAGTTGTTTAGTTTCCATATTTTTGCAGGCTCTTTCTGTTATTGATTTACATACTGGTAATTTTAGCTAGTTGGTAGCTGAGGCAGGAAGATTGCAGCCCTTCAAAACTGTGTCAAAAAGTACCTGTTTGTGGGAACCAGCAGTTAGCGTAATGGCTATGTCGCTGGACTCCCACGTAGTCGACCGCGGTTCGTGTCCCGGACCCGGTGGCTTAAAACTCATGCTGGGCACGTGTGCGTGCGTGCCCAAGATCCCGAGAGGAGAATGGAGGAGAAGGGATTGCGGCGTGACCATCCCCCCTGGGGGGTGATTTCTCGCTTTCTGTCTCTATGTCTCTCTCTGTCTGTCTGGCGAGCACACGCGCCCTACAGTGAAAATCTCTCTCAAAAAAAAAAAAAAGTACCTGTTTTATCTTTCTCTTTCCTCTAACCCCTCTCTCTCTGCCCCTTTCTTATTTAATAAAGAGGCAGAGGTGGGACAGCCAATGGTGTGGTGGTTAAGGCAGCTGGATCCCACATGTCTAATTGTGCAGTTTGAATCCTGGATGGCAGCTTGAAAAATACACTAGGCACATGTGCATGCATGCCCAAAATAATGAAAGGAAGAATGTAGAAGGGATTGCAGCATGATCATCCTTCATGAGGAATGCTTTTTCACCTTCTCTCTATGTCACTTTCCAGCAAGCATATGTGCCCTTTAGCAAATTAAAAAAAAAAAGCTGAAAATAATTGCTTATCTTTAAGTACCTGAAAAGCTACTGTTTAACACTTATTATTCCTTACTGAGGCTCTCTTGGTTTTGCTTTTACTGGAGTCTTGCTCAAGAGCAGTGTGTATCTTGTCAAGTTGGCTCAGTGTATAAAATGAAGTCTTTTAAATGAAAATTGAAATTCCTATCCCCTACTGTACTTTAGGTATAAATCCACAGCATCATAACATATATCAATATGCACCATTCTAACTCAACCTAACTCCTATCAGAAATGTATCTAATGGAGCAAATACAGAAATTCTGAAGCTTTATGTTGTTGGCTAATCATTTCCCCTTGTTTGGTAGCCATGCCCCATCATAGTAAAATGAGTGAGGAATAGGCCATTATGAATGATAAAGTAATGTTTGTGAAATGGAGTAAAGGTGAGATAGGAAGATGTTCCCCTGATGGCTCACTGCTGGCATGTTCTCAGGTAGGTAATTTTAAGAAAAGACTTCTTGGGGCCAGCAGGTAGTGTGGTAGTTAAGGCACTGGACTCTCACATAGCTGACCATGGTTTGAGTCCCAGACCCAGTGGCTTGCTTTCTCACTTTGCCTCTCTCTATCTTGTCTCTCTCTGGTCAATTTAAAATATCAACGACGACGACAAACAGCAACAACAACAATAATAAATAAAATAATTCTTAAAAAAATAAAAGAAAAGTCTTCTTGTGCAAGATAACTGTGGACCTAGCCAGGATAGTGTGTGTTGGATGGTGCTGTTTGATGGGTGGAGGTCACAGGGTAGGCTTAGGTTTGATTTCTGGCCCAACCGAAAAAAGCCAGGAGCTGTGGCACTGTGCTTGTTATGTTAGTTCAGCTTCTTGAGAAGCTGAAGCAAGAGGATATCAACGCAGTGAGGCTTGCTGTCAGAAAAACAGTCATTTCCTGTACACACACACACACCACACAGACATTGTGATGTATTCTTTAGGAAGTCTGAATTACATACACTCCTTATTACGTGGTTGTACATAATGTTTATGCGTGCTGTATCCAAATCGCATTGCTCTAGTTAAGACTACTCTGCTACAGAACACCTTTTCTCACATGTATACATCAACTTGACTTGGATATTGAGAACAAGTGTGAATAAAGGGAAAGTAGGCCTCCTTCTGACACCTTATGGCAGTAGTGGAGTACTGCAAGTGCTGTGGGGCTTGATTTAAAATTTAGTTACATTTCTAGGACTCTCCATAAGAAAAGCTTAACAAAGTGCCATTTTCTTTCTTCTTCTTTCTAAAAGTTATTTGTTTTATGTATTACCATTATTTAAGTTTACTATAGGACATGTATGTTCACCAGAGAGAGGCAGAGGGAAAGTAAGAAAGCAAGCCAACAGGTCCAGTACTTGAACCACAGTTGGTCAAGTGGGTGTCCAGCACCTTAACCACCATGCTACCTGCTGGTCCCTCATTTCTTCTTTACATATGAGAGAATCTGTTCAAAATTGCAACACAAAAAGTCACATAGTAATTTTCTGCATGGTGAAGTTTCAAGCTTCAGCCTCAGCCCTTTTTTTTTTTTTCCTAAGAGATTTTTGCCATAGGGCGCATGTGCTAGACAGAAAAGAGAGAAAGCGAGAAATCACCCCGGGGGGAGGGGAGTGGCCACACTTCAGTCTCTTCTCTTTCATTCTCCTCTCAGGATCTTGGGCACACATGCACACATGCCTGGCATGAGTTTTAAGCCACCACGTCCAGGACTCCAACTGCAGTCGACTACATGGAAGTCCAGCGATGTAACTGTTAGGCCATCTGCTGGTCCCAAGTCTCAGCCTTTTAAAACCATTCATACGTTTTTGATTTCTATGATATTCAAGAATTTAGAGAGTTCCCTATAGCATGAGATTGACTGGTGTACTCCTCCATATTGTATTAGTATGAGTAAAGCTAACATAAAATCCATGGAAATCAAGGCAGCTTGTTGCATTAGACCTGTTACCCAACATTGTTTGTAGAGGTTATAGATACAGTTTACTTCTGCAAGTTCAAGGATAATGAACTTGGAGTAAATGGTTTAAACAACTTAAAATGTGAAATACGCTCCAAGAAACCACCAAGAAAGACTGTTGGTCAAGTAGTGCTTAAATTTATTAGGCCTAAAACACTAAGAAGAAAACATTACACACCCTTGACAAGCTCTTACTTGTGGTTTTTTTTTTTTTTTTTTTTTTTTTTTGGAGAGATTTTCACTGTAGGGCGCGTGCGCTTGCCAGACAGACAGAGAGAGACATAGAGACAGAAAGCAAGAAATCACCCCCCAGGGGGGATGGTCACGTCGCAATCCCTTCTCCTCCATTCTCCTCTCGGGATCTTGGGCACGCACGCACGCGCGCCCGGCGTGAGTTTTTTTAAGCCACCGGGTCCGGGACACGAACCGCGGTCGACTACGTGGGAGTCCAGCGACATAGCCATTATGCTAACTGCTGGTTCCCTTACTTGTGTTTTAAAGTAGATCAGGAAGTGTTGGATTTTAGGGCTTTGGCTGGGTCTTTTTATACTTTAGCTTTTTTTATTTCTTAAATTTGGTATAGGGTATGTGTACTTACTGGAAAGAGACAGAAGGAGAAATTGAAAGAGAAACAGAACGTGAGAAAGCACTCCCCTCCCCCTGCCCAGGAAAGATGACAATGCCACAATCTCTTCCCCATTCTCTCAGGATTTTGGACATGCATGCACACACATACCTAGCGTGTTTGTTTGTTTTTTTCTTTTCTTTTTTTTTTAGAATTAATTTACTCGACTTTACTTATTATTTTCCAGTTTGATCAAACAGAGAGAGGGAAAATGAGAAAGCAAACCACCAGGTCCAGGCCTCTAACTGCGGTTGGCCATGTGAGAGGCCAGCGCCCTTAACTGCCACTCGACCTGCCAGACTCCCAGCGTATTTTTCAAGCTACCAGCTCTAGGACTGTACAGTCGGCCATGTGGGAGCTAGGCACCTTAGCCACCATACCACCTGCCTGGGTCATTTAAAGGTGGATCTTGCAAGGCAATTACTATTTGAAACTGGGTAATTTTATGACATTGTGGACATGAGGAAGCAAGTGTCTTAGAAACAGGTCTTGATAAATCAGCTGTTTTGTTGGTCTCCAGTCTTATTTTCCAGGAATCTTATCTTTTAGGTGATATCTTCTATTCAAGGGGTCTTGAAAAAGTTAACGGAAAATGAGTGTTAAGAAAAAGCTTTGTGGTACCAGCAGATGGCGTAATGGTTATATCGCTGAGCTCCGGCCTAGTCAACCGTAGTTGAGTCCCAGACTTGGCAGCTTAAAACTCTTGCTGGGCGCATGTGCGTGCATGCCCAAGATCCCGAGAGGAGAATGGAGAAGAAGGGATTGCTGCATGGCCATCCCCCCTGGGGGGTGATTTCTCGCTTTCTGTCTCTCTGGCAAGCACATGTGCCCTATAGCAAAAATCTCTCTTAAAAGAAAAAGAAGAAAAATGGGGGACCAGCAGTTAGCATAGACGGCTATGTCGCTGGACTCCCATGTAGTGGACCGTGGTTTGAGGCCTGGACCCGGTAGCTTAAACTCATGCTGGGCGCATGTGCGTGCATGCCCAAGATCCCGAGAGGAGAATGGAGAAGAAGGGATTGCTGCATGGCCATCCCCCCTGGGGGGGTGATTTCTCGCTTTCTGTCTCTCTGGCGAGTGCATGCACCTTGTAGCAAAAACCTCTAAAAAACAAACAAACGAAAGAAAGAAAAAAGTATTGTATGGGCTTCAAAACTTTTTTTAACCATAATGAACTCCTTCCATTTTCCATTTTTTTTTTTTAAGAGAGATTTTTGCCATAGGGTACATGTACTTGCTGAAGAGACAGAGACAGAGAGATGGTAAGAAATCATCCTCCAGGGGGATGACCCTTCTCCTCCATTCTCCTCTCAGGATCTTGGGTATGCACGCACATGCGCCCAGCATGAGTATTGTGGTGCTGGGCCTGGTACTCGAACCTCTGTTGACTACATGGGAGTCCAGCAATGTAACCATTACTCCATCTGTTGGTCCCTCCTTTGAACTTTTAAGTCCCTTTACATGTATTGCAGCAAACAGCTAACTCATTTTTTGTTTTTTTGTCAGTGTGGTTTAACACAGGGACAAAAGTTATATTGGTTTCTGTTCTTAAAAGTAAGGCTTGAATTAATATACGTTAATCACTGGTCTGTTTCAGCTTTGCCCGAAGTTTTTACATACAAATTCTACCAGTCACACTTGGCCATTCAGTGCAGTTGCTGAGTTAATAGGTATGTAAATTGATTCTTCATATATTATCTATTGCTTGCCGTTGTAATTTTAAAAACTTTATTGAAAAATAATATGCAAATGTACTTTTAAAAAGTTTATCTTGAATGATAACAGTGGTAAAGGTAGCCTAGCATAACAAAAATTCAGATGGTTATAAAATCAAAATTAATTACTGTTCAACCTCCTCTATAATAGTATACATATATTTTATAATGTTAAGGATTAATTTGCTAAGTTTACAAAGCATTTGTATTAAAAATGTTTTTATATGATTATAAAAGTAAAAATGAGAATTCAGTTTATTAATAGTGCAAAAGTGTCTGTAATATACAGAGTAAGTTCATTTTACTTACTTAAGCCTGGAGAGGTTACATTAGATTTGGTATGATTTCTTACTTCCCTTAATATTGGATAATCAAGGTTTAGGATTATGTTTTTAGCAGTGTTTTCATGAACTTGAGGAGAGACACAGTTGTACTAAAATTTGCATTTGGTAATGATTTTTTTCTTGGGAATGTTCACGTACATGAACGTTTTTAAAAATTGGGTATATGGGGACTAGCAGATGGCATAATGGGAGTTGCTGGACTCCCACGTAGTTAACTGCAGTTCGAGTCCTGGACCCGGTGGCTTAAACTCACGCCAGGCGCGCGTGCGTGAGTGCCCAAGATTCCGAGAGGAGAAGGGATTACGGTGTGACCACCCCTGTGGGGTGATTTCTCACTTTCTGTTTCTCTGTCTCTCTCTGTCTTTCTGGCGAGTGCACGTGCCCTATAGCAAAAACCTCTCCAAAAAGAGAATAAGAAAAAATTGGGTATGTGTTTGAAAAATAGAAAATAAAGGGAAATTTTATTCCTAGGAATTTTTTTTTTGAGAGGTTTTTGCTATAGGGCGCGTGCGCTCGCCAGACAGACAGACCAGACAGACAGACAGAGACAGAGAGACAGAAAGTGAGAAATCACCCCCCAGGGCGATGGCCACGCCGCAATCCCTTCTCCTCCATTCTCCTCTTGGGATCTTGGACACGCATGCACACGCGCCCGGCATGAGTTTTAAGCCACCAGGTTTGGGATGCGAACTGCAATCGACTATGTGGGAGTCCAGCGATATAGCCATTATGCTAACTGCTGGTCCCCCCCAAAAAAATTTTTTGAGCACCCTTTTTAACTTGTTACAGTTAGATTTTCCAAAATATCTTGTTAGCATAGAATGTACTGTTACTTTTAAAAAAACTCTGCAGTGGCTCTGCTCTAATAATCCTAGCTATTCACATACATTTTTTATGGCAAAAAGTTGAGTAACCAAAAGAATTTCTTAACCTGAGCTTTTTTTTTTTTTTTTTTTAACAAATGTAGTACTTTTCCTAGCTTTGGGTCAAAGCAACAGAAAGTAATAGTGCTCTTTTTGTTTTTGTTTTTATAAAGAATTACTGTATTTTTTTATTCATTCATTTTTTTATAATTTGACCAGAGAGGGAGAGAGAGAGAGAAAGTTAGAAAGCAAGCCGCCAGGTTCAGGACTCAAATCACAGTCAGCGATGTGGAAGTCCAGCGCCTTTAACCACCATGCTACCTGCTGGCTCCAGTAGTGTTCTAACCACCATGCTACCTGCTGGCCCCAGTAGTGTTATTTGTAATACATCAAATTTAATTTTTTTAATAAGAAACTGTCTTCCCAAAACAGGTGAGAAAGGGCTATTTCTTTCTATACTGTCTTATGGAATAATAGTTTGAGAAACATTATTTATATTATAATAATAAGTACTTCAAAATATCCCTCAAAAGGTATTTTTGTTCAGTTAGGGACTATTCAGATGTATCTTGGTTAATTCATGAGTTGATTTTATTACTGCTACCATTCAAATATTTTTCATTTTTTAAAATGTATTCTTTCATACTGACCTAAGAGAAATAAGTATGCTAAACAAATATCTTAGGGGAGGGGAATCTATGCAGAGAGAGAAGTATGAAAGCCACTGGAGACTTTGATTACATTGAAAAGGGGCCACAAGATGAAGCAGTATGGGGCCGGCAACTGTGGTGGTGGTTGAGTGCTGGACTCCCATATAGCTGACCACAGTTTGAGTCCTGGACATGGTGGCTTGCTTTCTCGCTTTGTCTCTCTCAGTCTCTGTCCTTCTCTGGTCAAAATTTAGATAGATAAATAAATAAGTAAATAAAGTTAAACAAAATCATTCTTAAAAAAAAAGATGAAGCATTATATAGAAGGTAAATCCTGTCAATGTATGTAGATTAGCAGAATATAATACTGCCTTATTTATTCAGTAACTATTGTGTACCTACACTGTCATACTTCAAGTTGATGCCCAAGTCGATGTTCAACATTGAGTTTTCCTTATCACAGTCATACTGGTCTCTTAATTATCTCTGTAGTGCAGTGATTTTTCTTAATACCTCTTCAATGTAGTAGGTACTAGTCTTTGCTCTCTAACGTGGAGGGCTTTGGAAAGGGTCAATTCTGTAATAATCAGTGAATAATATAAAGTAGGATATAGTTCAGTTTTGTATTTTCAGATCTTAGAAGTTCCTAAAATTACTTTTAGAGTCTTGTTAAAATACAATATTCTGTGGTTTGTTGCAGGATTATTTTGAACTAATTTCCCTTCTAGAAAATGCAAAATGAAAATTTCTCACAACTTTTGTTTTTCAGATAATGCATATGATCCTGATGTGAATGCTAAACAGATATGGATTGACAAAACAGTAATAAATGACCACATATGCTTGACATTCACAGATAATGGGAATGGTATGACTTCAGATAAATTACATAAAATGCTAAGGTATGTAAAACTGTGCCACCCTTCTTAAAGTCATTGCTTTTTACCTAATTAAAGGTTTTGTTTTGTTTTGTTTTGTTTTGTTTTGTTTTTGAGAGGTTTTCGCTATAGGGTGCGTGCACTCACCAGACAGAGACAGACAGAGAGACAGAAAGTGAGAAGTCACCCCCCAGAGGGGATGGTCACACCGCAATCCCTTCTCCTCCATTCTCCTC